GAACCGGCATAATTCCTTTATGGCAGTGGAACCTTCCCGGGACCACCTCGTTCTTTATTCCATTACACTTCGAGAAAGTTCTATATTCTATCTGCCGAGCTGGAGCAGCGGTGCGCAGCGGTCATAGTTATTACGACAGTACACGACTAGCATCATAATCTTATCTTGTCCTGGGCCCCCTTTACCAACCCACACTGACCAGCGTGGTGAAGTATGGTTGGACAACCCCCATAACCAACGCAGCGTGGGAAGGCATTCTTCATACGGCAGTGGGAGTGACATGCTCTAAACATTGTCAACGATTTAACATTTTTATTTCATTGCATGTATCGATGCCGCCCCGCTTTCAGCAGCCAGTTATTTTACATTGCAAGTGTCCAATACAATCGATGTGCGGAAACCCATCAGTTTTTTAAATTATTATTATCAATAGATTGGAGTGTCCCCACGCTGGGTCCCCCATTCCACGTGGAGTGTGGGCGATGTGACCAATGCCTTACCGTATTCTCCTGATTTTTAAAGTTACACTCTCCCCCCCCTCCCCCCCTTGTATTTGAATTAAAAAATCGCGGGAGGCGGGGTATTATACAACAGTAGGTGTGTGTACGTGGGTAGATTTGTGTAACTGTACTGGCACTGGGAACACGTTTGGAGTGCGTCTTACTTTCCGGAGCAACTTCTAATCGGGAGAATGCGGTAATTTGTGGTCGGCATCCTCCCACCCCCACTTTGCTTTGCCATAGAAAGGGAGCTATGTACAATGAGAATGTGGCGAGAGGAGTTAGCTATTGAAGCAATATCCAATTTAATAAAAAAAAACGTTAAAATATTTTGCGTAGTATCTAGGTTCCACTTGTGTGTGTGTTTTTAAAGCGTACCAACATTTAAATGTATCCCGAAAATATATTTTTTAATGAAAAATGGACGAATTAATAATTTTTAAATGTAGGCTCTTCTATGTTCATTCTAAACGCTGCTATTTAGGCGAACATTTATTTCATTCATACAGTGAAGTTCTGCTTTAACGAACATTACACAGGCAAGTTAATTCTGTGAAATAGCTGTATGGACATGCCACCCAATTTATTTCCATGGGATGTGTGATCTGTCTGGTTTGTGTTCATACCAGACCATGACGTTAAAACCCGGGCTCACTGCTCATTTGTGAAACCAAATCGCTCGTGAAATCGTGCCACTAATTACTTGCCTGCAACCAGAGACGCTCACATAGAAACGACTCGGTTGCATTGCGACCATTTGTGCAACTGATCGCGCAAATCCCTGGAGTCTGAAATCCTTTTTCCCCTTATCTGGGCAGACAGATCAAACTAAAACCACGCGTTGTAGCTTTTAAGAGGTTATTTAAGATGCTTTGCCCAATTGTGGAATGCATATCAGAAGCAGAATATTTATCCTGGAGAAATCCGATGAGCTATGAAGCCATTTTTCACAGATGTCCAGTAGGGGTGGGCCAGAAGCCAGAGGGTTATTAAGGGGCCGCGTGTTCACGGCTGGTCCACTATGCCGCTGTTTTTGGTGTTCCATCATCGCAACGCTTCGCGTCTGGGCCATTCCTAAACCACGTGGCTCAGCGGTGGGGTGAAGTGGGCCGCAATCGGAACGTTGAGAGTTCAAATCGGGGTCGATAAGAGCTGCGGTCGTGAGACCCCACCCAAGCACAATGTCTTATTGGTTTATTCCAATGACACCCGGTCCACGCCCCATGCAAATCAAGTTGTACCACAGTGACGAAGAGAGAGAGAGAGGGGGGGGGAGATGATAACAGCACTGGCCCATGATCATTTTCAGCAGGCCTGAGCAGGTGCGCGGCTCTTTGTGTCTCTGACTTCAGCTGGAAGTCGACCTCGTTGAGCAGCCCTGGTGGATGCGCTTGAGCGGCGAGTCGCGCGTGACTTCAGCTTGAGGATAAGCAACAGCTGGAATCTGGCTCACGTGTGTTTATGTTCGCATATAAACGTGCGCCGTACTTTGGAATGCGATGGCGGTGTGGCAGAGCCTTGATGGCTCGCTCGATCATTTACGGAACACTGCTAGGGCTGGCTTGGAGTCGGGGATTGTCGGCGTAATGCACTTCCACTAGAGGTACAAGGCACGCCTATCCATAATATTATATTATACTATTGTACCCTGTGTTCCTATAATCCTATGAAAAGGTTTATATAAGTAAATACAATTATTAGGATAAAATAAGACGAGATGGATGTGGTGTGCCATCATCGTTCCTGAAACAGCGTTCCGGATTGTTACGGCTGAAATGAAGAACTGGCCGTGTCACGTGAGGAACACGTGGATACATTACACGATTGCGTTATTCATCGCATCAAAGCTTTTGCACACTTGTAGTCTTCTGTAAAAGAGAGGCCTTTCCCCAATGTATATTCTCAAAACGTTCTGAACACGCACCCTGCTGATGCTGAGTGGTCGCTTGGTTTTCAACTGAAACGCAGCTGACATTTGGTCCAATTATTGCCGTCCAGAACATTGCACTCCATCCCCCCATTTATTGCCTTCACGAGCTCAGGACTGCACCCTCCCCAATGCTGGAGAAACGTGCGCGCTGCTGCTGCTGCTGATGATGCTGCCGATGCTGCTGATGCTGTCCGTGCTGTAATCTGGGATCTGAGTCTGGCGAGTTCCATTTCGCGTCGCTTGCGTGTACATTACAACAGGGGCTGTCACGCCCTCGCTGGCCTGCGTTGTTCTGCTCTGCTTGCCACGCGTTTAACTCTGCGCGAGCGATGTTTGGCCACCTGCCTCGTTTGCGTCGTGACGATTGGCCCTTCGACTTGGCGGCGAGCTCCGACGATAACAATCGACGCGTCGGTAAAACCCCAACGCCAGGTATCACCGCGTGACAAATTGCTCTGGCTACGTTGGGTTGGTCGGAAAGGAGGAGGGGAGGGGGGGTCTTTACGACACGAATGTGGGTCGGATCGTCACGTAGCCTAACCGAAAAATAAATTTCGACTCGTCGTGATGCGCTTGTGAAACACCGCGGGGAGGCATCGGCAGGCTGTGCGTGTGTGGCCGACACGGGGAATGTTTGTGTCGTGGCGTGTTGACGGAGGAGGAAGGTGGTGGTGGTGGTGGTTGTGGTGACTGAAACGGAAAGAGGAGCTCGAATTTTGCTCTGGAATCTCGAACCCGATTGCTATGAATACAACGTGTCACTCACAACAGCGTGCGACGGTGGCTCTCTTTGTTTCTCTGTCGATGTCTCTGCAATTCCACGCGCATTTCCCGTCAATCCGCTGCTGGATGAGGGGCTTCCACGCATACACGGGGCATTATTTCACCATACTTCACCACGGTAGTCGGAGCAGGTTCGGGGGTCATGTCGGCAGCATAGATGTTGGAGCACGGTACACTTACAATGGGACTGAGTGTATTCTTATGCAACCGACCTCTACTGCCAATGCATTGCATACAACACGTGTTGATGAACGGCGAGTCACCCGTTCAAGTGCTGCCCAGGCTAGAGGCTGCTTAAGCTTCCGAGATCTGCTGCGTTCCGAGTGATTTGGTCACAGGCCACACCTTCATAATGCACACACAACATGTCCACAGCTAAGGTGCCAGTGGGTTGCTATTGTTTGCTGAAGAGCTTGGCGAGTAAATGAATACTCTTTGGTTTTTTTTCGGTAAAGCCACGTAGGTAAAAAAAAATAAAAAAAATGAAAACGTTCAGTAAATGAATGTTAACAGCCCGACGGCAAATTCTCTGGGGCTTTACTAAAGTCTGCTATGAAGTTGGCGTTGAAGAGCCCCCCACACGAGGTCCATCGGCCGCAAGGGCAGATCTGAATGGACTGCCGCGGCACAGTCCCAATTTGATAAGAAATAAAACCATGGGCGGAGTGTGACCTCTATATTTCGGGGGGCGAGGGGGGACAGGGGTTCGTTTTGTCTCTCGCATTCGGAATCGCGGGTGCAAAGAACACATTTATTTTAAATCTTAATTATAAACTACTGATCAAAAATTCATGAAGGTGTCCAGTTTTGGCGGGACTTTGACCCGCCTCCCGTGTCCCCCCCCCCCCCCGTGCCCCCCCCCCCCCCACCACCACCTGCAAACTCTGCCCTTGATTAAAAGCCCATTAACTATCATTTAAAGCACTAGCATTGAAGTGGCGTGTGGAAACTACTACAAACACAGCATTCCCAGCATATATATTAATTCTGTTTTGGAAATAATATTAACTAATTGCAGCCCTCTGTCAATCCACTGCTGGATGAAAGCCCCCCCCCCCTACACCACCGGGTTTAAGATCGTAGCAGGGGACAGAAATCTGTCCACGCTGTCCAGCACTGCTAACACCACAGCGCGCAACGACCCACGATGACCCCCTCCCCCACCCCCACTGACGGGGCCGGCATTCCCAGGGGGCCCGGCAGTCGTAGGGGGCCCGGCATCGTAGGGGGCTCAGAGGAGTTGTTGGTAAGTAAGGACTTGTCCCTTGCTTTTTATTCGACGCGTGTGCGGCGATGGCGCAGCCATCGAACGAGGGTCGACTTCGAACCGCGTTGTGTGATCGGCGTCGCGCTCGCTGAAGGTGTTGATGCCTTCAGGGAAGTCGTGGACTGTTTACGCAACTGCGCACAATTCTGTGAGTCACTTATTACTGCTTTGCCGTTACTTATTGCCAATTATGGACTTAGACTATTGTCCTATCATCTCATAGAGTCCCTGGCACACAATAATATGCTACGCAGTGGCAGTGGGGGTCGCAAAATGCAGATTTATACTGGTAGGAACGAAGTTGTAAACTGAGTGTACCAGCCTGCAATAGATTAATGTGTCCGTCCGTCCGTCCCCTTTCAATACTTTAACGAAGTGAAATCTCGTGCTGTTGGGTGTAAAATCAGCAATAGACAGCGCAGAGACTTGTCCTACCAGCCCACCCTGCAGGGACCTGTTTACTAATAAACCCCAATGATCCTATCGAAATTAGGGATTTCGATCGGATCATTGGGGGGGGGGGGGGGTGGGGGGATTCAGTAGTCGGGCTCCACGTGCTCGCCCTCCAGCAGGTCTTGCACGGGAGGAGGCGTCCTCGTGTGCCCGCACGGGACGAAGCAGCGGCAGAGGCAGCGGGCGCACGGCGAGGCCCAGCGGAGCCACGCGTGGCGGCTGTCAGTGCAGCGGGAGAGGCGGCTGCAGCCGAGCTGCGCGGCGCTCGGCGAGTCGAAGGCGTCCGCGGGGCAGCGAGGCGGGCACCCGCCAGAGAGGCCCGCCACGTCCACGTCCACCAGCCCTGAGTAGCAGGCGCCTGTGGGTGGGCCCAACACCACCAACAACACCAACAACAACAACCAACAAAGATCGCCCCCACCCCCATACATTACACCCCTCCCCCCCCTCCATCCCCGTATAGATTTGAGCAGCCATAATCTCGGTTTGTTTTGGGTGAGATGGCGAAATATATAAATGTGTCGTTAAACCCGCCACCACCGGACACAGCCAATTAGTAAGGGTTGTCACGTTAACAGAAAATGCCAATTCGTCATTGGAGAGCAAAGCCACAACATTTACAATCTGTACTAGTGACGAATTGGCCACGTTCTGTTCACGTGACAACCCTTACTAATTGGCTGTGTCGGGTGGTGGCGGGTTTAACGACACATTTATATATTTACGTCATCTAACCCAAAAAACAAACTCTTATGGATGATATTGGTCGCTAAAAGCCTGCTCCGCGTTAAACAGATTGTAACAGACTGTCGGGGCAAGTGCTGTTAGGGAAACGCCCTGTGAAGGGGCGGCCGCGGTATTCGCGAAGTGGGTGGGTGTCCAGCGCCACGCTCCGACCGCCTTTGTCTCTCTAGCGTGGCAGTGTATTTTCACACGAGGTACTCAAAGAGGCCCCAAATCATCGTCACTGGTTTAACACGTAGTAAGCTTTCGCGACCAATGTCATCCATAATATAGGTGGTTTTTTTGGGGGGGTAAGATCGCGTAAATAGAAATGTGTCGTTAAACCCGCCACCACCCGACACAGCCAATTAGTGAGGGTTGTCACGTAAACAGAACGTAGCCAATTCGTCACGAGTACAGCACACCGGTGTGTTGGAGGGCACAGCCAGATCTGGCTGTCCACCTGATGATGCTCGTTGTAATTACTGGCGAAACGCTGTACTCAGATTGTAAATGTTGTGAAATATTCAGAATCAGAATCTGTATTTATACTGGAGGAATACGATGAGCTACAAAGCTCTCTTTTTCACAGATGTGCAGTAGGCACACGGCACTGGAGGAGTTGAAGTGGAGAATGTTTTATTGTTTTATATATATTTTATTATTTTATTGTTTCCCTTCAACGTGACTTTACCGAAAGAATCAAGAATAGAATGTTGCCCTCCTCAAACCGGAGTGGCCGAGAACTAAAATTACATCTCTGGGTAAAATTTCATCCTGGTGGTGGCGCTCTGCGCTAGCAAACTGAGCAGAGGCTCAAAGCCCCAAAGAGTTCAAGGTGACCCCGAATTCAAGTCCCCATAAACGTCACTAAAAAAAAAACAGTTCACTCCACCCATCATCCCTCAGTGGTCGATAAAGTCAGTTCCACTTTGTGTGGAAGTCAACAGTGGTTGGTCCTCCGGGGAGAGTCCCCACGTCCCACGGCGGTGTGGAATCTCCACCGCCGGACTCGGCGGCGCTCTCGGCACGAGTCGAGGACCCAAACGGCCGTCAGCGGCTCCCTTGAGCGGGAACGTCGCTCTGGCTGACGCGTGGGCGCGAGCAACATTCGTGCGGACTCTGCGTACGAGCGGACTCTGCGTGCGAGCGGACTCTGCGTACGTGCGCAGGTGGGCTGGGGGCTCCAGTGCCCCGCAGGCAGGCACGTCCGAGTCGGTGCGCCGACCATGGCGAAGCCCGGCGCGCAGCGGTAGCGCACCACGGACAGCACCCACCAGTCGTTGCCGTACGCGACGCCGTTCTGCACGTGGCCCGGCGGGCCGCAGTTCACTGTGGGTGGGTCGGGGTGAAGAGGGCGACGGGCAGCTCGCAGTCTCATTGTTTCTTTATTTCGTACGGCTGATGTAGACGCGGAGCAAGGACCGCAGTTTCGCATCCAGGTGGTCAAGCCGGATAGCCGCGCCGGGGGCGGCTGGCAGCGGGCCCGGCGTGGCGCTGTGGCGTGGCCCAGCGGAAGTGCCTCCCGCACATCGCCGCAGAGGTTGGAAGTTCGCGGTTCGAATCCGGCAGGCTTCTCAGGGTTACGTATATTCGTTACAAATTATTTTGCCAGGTGAAGGCCCGCTTGAGCTATGTAGCTCTTTTTTCACAAGCGACCTGGCTATCACGAATACCTGGTAGCTCAACGAAGTGGCTCATCGTGTGGAAATTTACGGCAACCAACTGCTCTAAACGCGTCGTTGGTCATTCTAAATGTGGAGGGAAAAACCGGAGGACGCCGGAGAAAAATCCTCGCGACCACGGGGAGAGCCCGCAAACCCCGAATATACAGGCTTCAGGGTCGGGGATTGAACCCACTACCTCCTGTATACCAGGCGAGGTAGCTAACATCTCGCCAACAATATTGCGTGAGCTACAGATACGCGCCGTCCGCTTCACGTCGGACGTTAAAGAATCCCCCTACGTCGTTAGAAACGAGTAGGCCGCCGCGGTTACCGGCGTCGTTCAAATTGAGCAAAATTCGAAAATTACCCGAAAATTCCTCAACAAGATTTACACGAACGTTGTCTGCGTGCCCACGACGGAGGAATCGCAGAACTCCACTCTCTCCCTCTCTCCCAAAGCCCTCTCGTCGTGACGAGCAGACCCCCTGACATTGGCATTTAACTCCTAAACAGATTGCTGTTTGCCGTCGTACACGATAGCGGAATAGAAGCTGTGGCGAGCCGGTGGCTTTGGTGGGTTCCACCCCCATCGCCAAAGGACACCGGGGGCGGATGGTGGAGCGGCGCACAGCACACGTGAAGTGGAACTAGTTTTGATAAAAACGACGGGAGGGGGGTAGCTCATTGCTGTGGAATGCACAGCAATGTGTACCTTGGGCGAGCAGCTGTGTACCTGGGAGACCAACGGGGTTGAATTCACAACCGGGGATTATGATGATGGGATTAACGGGGGCAGACGGTTGCGGGCAGGTCGGAGGTTTCTCTGGGATTGGTTGAACTTGAGATCGAGAATGAAAAGTTAACACACACCAATGTATAATTTACATTACATGATATTTATGTATGTACCGAAACTGAAAAAGCTTAGAGATGGAGGAGACGGATACACAAACACATGCTTTGCATCCTTTCGATACAATTTTTGGACGCGTTATGTAGGGTGGCAGTGCCGGGTTAAGCTAGTGCGGGGCCTGTAGCATGATGTTATAAAGGGCCCCTAAATTAAAAACGCACACAAATATTAAAACACATACATTTTTAACTTTCACAGTAAAGTTATTGTATTTTTTCATTTGCTATACAGCCAGATAATACAACAAATCGCTAACCGTAAACACCGCAGTCGTTCATAAAAGTCTAAGACAGTATAATACTCTAGTAATAAAGCAAGTGCATAATCACTGAACTGGAATTGATAGCTTGAAAGCATTTAGCGCGGGGCCCTTGAAAGTGCGGGGCCCGTAGCTACTACACGTGTTGTAGCTACTACACGTGTTGTAGCTACTACACGTGTTGTAGCTACTACACGTGTTGTAGCTACTACACGTGTTGTAGCTACTACACGTGTTGTAGCTACTACACGTGTTGTAGCTACTACACGTGTTGTAGCTACTACACGTGTTGTAGCTACTACACGTGTTGTAGCTACTACACGTGTTGTAGCTACTACACGTGTTGTAGCTACTACACGTGTTGTAGCTACTACACGTGTTGTAGCTACTACACGTGTTGTAGCTACTACACGTGTTGTAGCTACTACACGTGTTGTAGCTACTACACGTGTTGTAGCTACTACACGTGTTGTAGCTACTACACGTGTTGTAGCTACTACACGTGGTGTAGCTACTTTTGCTACTAGGATAATCCGGCACTGTAGGGCGGACAAGAACAGGAAAATAAAAAAAGTGTGCTGTTTGGAAACACAGAAGGAACCGGAGAGAGAGAGAGGAAGACCTAACAGAGAACGGCCTGACGACAACATAAGAACAGATTGGTGCCAGAACGATGTGGCCACGACTTGAGCAGATTGGCACAAGACAGGGAGGAAAGTTGAAACAAATGACGGAATGTGCAGTGGACACCTAAGGGGGGGCTGTCTGCCCATGGACCGTGATGATGATGATGGTGAATAAAACATTTTACTCCAAACCCACCGGGGGGCGCTCTTTCATTGAAAACCACCGTTCATTTCTCATTTACGTGATGAGACACGAGTTCAAAGGCAGTTGATACTTACGCGGTGGTTTCAATGATAAGCGCTGTTAAATGTTGTCATCATAACCATCCAGCTACGAGGGTGCGATTTTTTGTTCTGGGAAATGCCATTAAAACTGCGATTTTCAGGAAAAACAAAAAACTGGGTTTAAAGGAAAATTAAACCAAGTTGGATAAAACAAACCGGAGGTACAGAGGCTAAAACGGAGTAACATAGAAATGTATGGCAATAGGGTTACTTACCAATGGCGAAACAGTCTACCTATAAGACTCAAGTGGGGAAGACGGATATATGCCACGAGGCTAATATTGAGAAACGAATTCCGTAGACAAACATTGAGGACACGGAATGATACCTCACCATCTTCTTTGGTTCTTTCGGTAAAGTCACGTAGAATGAGAATAAAATAATAAATTGGTAAAATAAAATAACACAATATCAATTTATTATTTTATTCTCATTCTACGTGACTTTACCGAAAGAACCAAAGAAGATGAATCCTTGCAGTCACGAAAGCTTTAAATCGAAATATACCTCACCACTCGAGTAGTTGACCGATGGAATTAGAGAATAACAAAAGAATCTAATGCTATCCATGTGTGCCACGTGCTGGAAGTTAGAACAAGTTCGCTAAATAATGGGAGCCAGCTGACGGAAAGGGGGCCAGAGTCAGTATTGTAAAAAAAAACGTGGCAGACGAGAACAGGTTCGGGTTGCTTTTGGAAAAAGCTCAACCTGATAGATATAAAACAAGGAAATATATCACGTAGCAGCATTTTAATCGGTGTGTACGCACTACGACGTGCTTTGACAGCCGAGGCAAGGGGGCGAGAGAGAGAGCGAGCGCGCGCTAACAAAGCGCTAACTTTGCCCAACACGTGAACTCGCATCCATCGCGCCTCCGACGAGCGCGGCTGGCCACGTACGGTGCGAAAGAAGTTCAACGCACGTGCATGACGTACCCCGGCAGAGCGTTTTGCGTCCGGCCCAGCAGCAGGCGCCGTCTCCGCAGGGGTCGCTCTGCACGGCGCGGTAGGGGTCCCGGCAGTGTCCCCAGCACAGCGGCGCGCTGCCCACCCAGAACTCCTCGCGAACTCCCGGTGGCGGGGCAGGCGCTGGACCATCGACCGCACCGAAGGTTATTTTGATTATTTTTGGCCGCTGCGAGCGTCCGAAATGATAAGCCACTTTGTTGAGCTGTAATTTGTGGCCAGGTCGAATCTGAAAAGAAGATGAGTTAATCGCTTTGCCTGGTGGGATGGGGACGGTTTAGTTGTATTTGTACGGCTAGTTTGTGTGATTTGTTTAACTTTCTTGGTCCTTGCACTACCATCGTGGTTTTTTTTTGTAAAACAGCTGTATCGCTCATCGGATTCCTCCAGTATACATACACATTCTTATTCTGCACTGTGGTCAAGGGTCAGGTCACAGACACTCATCTTCTCCACCGGTACCATCCGAGCCGCGCCGGGCCCGTGCCGAGGCAGGCCGGTGCGGCTCGGTAGGCGCCCAGGTTGGTTTTCCACTGCAGAAGCTGAGCCATGTCAAAACAAAAAAAATTGGAATAAAATGTACCCCAAAATGTGTTGTCGTTATTTAATTAAGAAATTTTGACTGCACATACATGCTGTCGTATTTTTTTAAATTTTAAAACACACTTAATTACATTTTTCTACATAAAAACCGAACACGATGGCCACCTAGTCTTAGACATCTGAAGTTACAAATGGTGCTCTGGTTGTCAGAAAATTGAGATCAACTGGAATGGGCCTGCAACTGGTTGTAACCACGAGATAACAAAAAACGCAACACAATCGTCAGTAACTCTGCCTTAAAAGGAAACATAATTAGGCAACGTTGCAGACAATGGCCCTTCTGAATAGCACAACGGTGTTCGCGGTCGTGCTGTAGAACTGTCTGGTGCGTGTACGGTTTGTTTGCGTCTAGTTTGTTCTTCCCCGCGCAGTTGACTACGTACGGTGTGAAAGAAGGTCAGCATACATACGGAAACAACTGGACACCACGCGGTACAAACCCCGACACCTCACCGGAGATCTCTCCACGGTGCCCGTGACCCCCTTCAACCATCCGCTTACTGCACCCTCAAAAAAAAAAACCCCACTTCATCAACTCGTTCTGCCCTCGCGATCCTCTCTCTCAGCCCCCCCCCCCCCCCCCCCCCCACTGCAGCGGTGCTGCCGTTACCAATCAGAGCAGCCGCTGGCACGAACAGCACGGCAAGCAGCAGAGGCAGGCAGAGGCTCCTCCACGTGCGGCGGCGTGAATCCGGTGGCCCGCTGGAAGGCGCAACTCGCCACGCACCCATCTCTCCGAAGGGGGGGGGGGGGGGGCGCGTCGCTAAACCCAACCAAACCCCAACGCGGGTGGGTTGCGTGGAGGGCGATTCCAGAAAAACCTCAACGACCACCGGGAAGCGAGCGCTCAAACCTCCCCCCCACCACCGCCGGGCACGTGAGCGGCTTGCGCGGGGATTAGGGGCGGTGGATTTGCTGAGCATGCCCCGCCGATGCAACGTTGGCACTCTCCAGCAAATGACAATCCGTCCTCAGCCCCCCCCCCCCCCGGATGGGGGGTTTCAGGCTCCCGAGCAGAGGATGGCCACGCGTGTGTACGCGTGTGTACGCGCGTGTGTCCGGCGACGAAAGGAAGAAGTGCAGAACGTTGTGGTCGCAAGTCAAATCTCGGAAATGGGCAGAATCACCCAAGTAGTTTCATGGTATCGTGTTCCTGTGGGCCCCAGGGGTGGATCTCGACACTTCGGGTATTCCCAAAGTGGTGTGGAGCAGCAGATGGGAGAGGGGGCATCCAAATACGTAAATATTTTTTATATAGAGTCCGACATAAAATTTTTTTCTCAATTATAAAAAATATTCCAAATACAGACAGCCCTCGACTTACGAACACCCGCACTTATGAACCAGCTTCCATATAAAAGAATTGTTTAACATTGACTTAAAACGCAAACTCGCAAACTGAACCAAGTTAACTATTTTGTTCGGCAGTATTTGTTTTTACACTGTTAAATGCAAATTTACATTTCTTATTTATGAGTTGAACAATGCTGTCCTTGTTTGTTGAACAGTAACACATTTAAAAACACTGCCCATACAGGCATTTAAATACGGTACATTATGTTCCGATGTACGAACCATTCGACTTACGAACGGGCCACAGGAACGAATTGTGTTCGTAAGTCGATTACTCTCCATCCTGTATAATAAAATACCACAACTCAGGGTCTTGGGTTGGCGATTGCTCTCTTTGCATCCCCTTGAAACCGCTCTAAATTGCGAAGAATGCTCACTGTCACCGCACACCCAAAGCCACTTCCATAAAGCACACAACCACTAACATTTTCTTCTGACGTTTATTCATTAAAATTATCAGGCACACATGCAACATAAACTTATGTTATTAACGTTAGCTTCCTATGATGGAAATAATCGTTTGCTTTATTAAAACAGGTCACGTGAAGATTTCCCCAAATTATTTTTATCAACTGCAAACAAGAGGAGTAGCTCAGTATTCAAGTAAGAATGGTGTGTGTTGCAACCCCTACAAAAGATGGTATACTCCATGGCGGCACGACTTGAGCCACGAGTGTCAACCATTAGCCCCAGTTGATATGGAGTGTACCATGTATCGGGGTGTTCTGAACCAACTCAAAATGTAGCTACTGCTGTAACAAAACACACACACACATGTATTTTAAACCGAACCAAAGGAATCAGAAAAGTATAATAGATGAGCTAGTTTAAGGCTGTAATCCTATAAGGTAGAATGCTACCTGTCACCCATACAATATAATCTATAGCTTAAACCTCAACTGTATAATTTCCTTTATATTCCCGATAAAAAAATTATTTACAATTAACTTAGGATATGCAACATTCAGTGAGGAGAGCTGGGAATTTGGCTTGAGGCACACACGATATTTCATAGAATAACAGTCCTTACACGGGAGCTTTAACGCCAAACCGACCAATCAGCTCACACAATTGGGATAACAACAATCATCAGTCGGGGGGGGGGGGGGCACGCAAATGCGTACGTTGAATTTCGTTCACGTCGCCCCTTGAATCCGAAACCAAACATCGTCCCCTTAGAGAAACAAAAAAAATGCTGTAACAATTTTAAGGACAGCTCTCGGAGGCTTCATGGGAAACGCAGATGACATCGGAGAGAACCCTCTCCCGTCTTTCATTTCCATAAACCGACCAGTGCTGCCCCCCCCCCCGCTCCAGTTGGAAATGGCACACTCCTCGGCAATGCACACAACAATGCTGCTGCACACGTTGATGCACCGTAAATCTGGCAATATTTACTCGACAACTTTAGGAACTTCACAAACTGCGTTGGCTTTTCAAAAGTCCTCTTTGATTGACACTTCCCCACAAGTCAAAACAGCGGCGGTGGATTGACCTTGCGGCCGTAACGCTGCGCCGAGAATACATTGTGTACTCCCGTGGTGGTGGTGGTTCGTGCCTTATGCCGATGATCGCGACTGCCAAGGCTGCCGAGGAGCGTTTTAAGAAATATCGAGTGAGAAATTAAGCGCTCCCTGGAGGCCTCGCTCCGCTGAGCTGTGGAGTGCGCACATATAAAGTAATTAAGCCAAAGCCTTTATGGAATGCGCCATTTCCTACATAGGGGTGAATTTTTAAATTCTCGCGGTCACCCTCTTTACACGATACTGTAATCCTGCCCACGCTGAAGAGCTCCATGGGATATAAAAAATCACTTACACCCAAGTCTTGACTACTAAAGCCATCATTATTACCCAATTGCCACACCGACAAAACTCCAACCCAGAAGGCACACACAATCAAACTCGCAGACTCGGAAGCGGACTGGAGCTTTCACGGGACATCTCGCGATTGCCAAACCACAAACGGATCCAGTGCGCCCTTTGTCCGTAACCAAGTTCCATCCGTGCAGCAGCCACTGTGGCGGCCTCAGTCCTGGATACCGCACAAGAGGTTTGCAGGAACTGCACGGTCTGTGGAAGACAGGAAAAAGAAACCTCAGTGTCGGGTTTTAAAGTCGGGTGCTGTGGCGGTGGCCACAAGTAATCTGGCAACTTGGAGGAAGAGTTAATGGGACACACACAGACAAAGCTCCCCCCGTATAGTCTTAAGAGACTGTTGAGGCAAGCGTTGTTAGCGAGCACCTATGAAGGCCGGAACGGCACACGAGGGGGTTGGTGGCCGGCACCACGCCTGGCCGCCTTTCCCTTCTGAGCGACGATGTTTACGCACCGCACCAGTTACTGATTTGAGGCCGAGTCGAGCTAGGGGAGACCCAGGACTGGTTCAGATAATCATCACTGATGTTGGCCGCGAGAGGGAATCGAACACGGACTGCCAGGTTCGAAGCGCGGCACGCTAACCGCACACACACATTTAGAGATGCAGCCAAAAGGAAACAGCGGTCCTAAAATACAAACGCAGGGCATTTTTAGGAGACAGTGCAGCAAGTAGGTTGCTGAAGGCTACCGGTAAAAGTGGAATTGAGTGCAGGCGTTTCTGCACGCACGCTGGTTTCCTCTGATTAACAGCCCTTTTTATCGATCCACTTCTGCGTGGGTCACAGGAATGATTTGACCACACTTCACCATGCTGGTCGGTGTGGGTTGGTGAGTGTGGAGAGGAAAGATGTGGGAGCGTAGTAGGGTACAACAACGGATTTTTTTCCTGCACTGCCCTCAGCTGCTTACAGCGTAGCCTTTCAATACCAGTTGTTGTCCTACCCCCGGTTGGCGATGTAGGGTGCTAACGAAGTTCAGCGTACACACAGCAGTTTTTTTTGCTGGCCGCTGGGAAATTTGGGCCCTTGGGCCTGTGGCGCTTATCTTATCTTAACGTAATTTACAGAGCGCCTTAACCAAGGCACTTTACAGAGAATTAAGAACGGTGCATATGAATGCAATGGCGGAGATGAGGTGAATAAAATAGATGAGAGGAAGCAATCGGCGAATCTGTGATGCGTGAATTCGGTGAAAGCGAAATTGATGACAGTAAATGATGATGAACGGATTGAATGAATGAGGAATGAGTGATAGCCACATCATGAGAATATGAAGAGGGAGCAGTAGCGGTGGTGGTTATGAGCGGGAGATTAAAGGGGGGGGGGGGGTCGTGGGGTGAGCAAGGAAACAATGAGCGAGTTGAGTGAGGAGCAGAAATCAGCGAGCGAAGGCGACTGCTTAATGTGGAGGGGGAGGTTTGTTCCAGCGAAGGGGGACGAGAAGAGAGAGCGACAGCGTGGATCGATCACAAGGAGCAGGAGGAGGAACAGAGAGAGAGAGACAGCAAAGATTTAGAGCGTCGAGGGGGCGAGAAGGCGACGCGTAGAAAGATTCAAGAGTGGCAAGACATCGTGGGGGCAACTGTGATTTGTAAAAAAATAAATAGACGCGACAGCGGGGAGCTGGCCTTACCGATCTGCTTGGGCTTGGGCAGGTTCAGGTTGTTCATGAGTTCCACGAACTGGGGCAGCGGCTTGGTGAAGCGAGGGTTAAACTTCTTCTCCTCTGCCACGGTGCTCATTGTCTGACCTTTTGGGGAGGGCAGCAAAAAAGGGAAGGGCAGGTCGATCAAGATGCCGTATGTGTGGATTGTGTGCGTGTGTGTGCGTGGCGCGGTCGTTCATCGGTCTTTGTTTTCAGATTCATCGCTCTATCGGTGCATCGTCAAAAGTGACGAATAAGTTGAAACATCGGCGCGCTGGCTGTAAGCGATCTGCTTGTTTGCAAAGGTAGTTACCAAACTGTTATAAAGTGTTGAGACTCATAAACGATGTTAAGGCTGGAAGAGGCTAATTATAGTTTAAGCAACCTCTACAAAACCAAAAGTCGAACCTTTCTTGCCATAATGTGTAAAAATTCCAGGCTTAGTGTCACCTAAAATGTAAGATCCTCACAGGATGTTAAAAAATTATTGCACATTTGTGAATTAGTGAAAGCATCTTATGAAGCCATGTATAATTAGAAAGTTTAAAACACATTTACAGAACTCATTTCAGTTTCTACTATGTTGAATTGCTGTGGCACAGCTGTTAACGAATACAACTTCTACTTTTATGTCAACTAATGTTGTTGTTTGTTTGTGCAGGCATCGGTTTCATGTCGCGTGAAAGTCCTCTACCCAAAGCATCATCAGGGGGGCCGGAGGGAGGTTAAGCCCCCTTCGCCTATGCCGAAGGTTCAGTTCCGCCCGAAATTCTTAGCCAATTCAGAATGTAATAATAGGGGTTTCTCCCTTTTTTCTGCCTATAAGAAAGCCGTCCCTTGGTGTGGACCAATCAGTTTCAAGGACAATGCATTTATTATCATAGTATGTTCTTTGTTTGCATTTTGACTGCAGGTATTGTGGTTAATGCAGACATGAATCCTTGTAAAAAAAAGGTTTAAGTTTTGTTGCCAGAAAAAAAGAGGAAAAACCCTATTATTATATTTTGGTACTGGCAAAGGAGGTCTAATGATGTAAATTCAGAATGTGTTGGTACAACATTTATGGCGTCACAGCCTTTCCTCCTTTACACGGGCTAAGGGGGCGGTGCGAGAGGTCGAGCAGAATGCACAACAGACACCACAAGACTACGTCACTACTCATTCTAATCCACGTTTAACGGTTATTGAGAGTTTGTTCAACATTGCTTAGAGTTTATTTAATAGTGACAGCGTCACCCCTCCGCCCCCCCCCCCCCCCCCCCCACTTTTTTTTCATTGCAACTCAACGCGAGCCGGCTACAAAACGCCAAACACGGGGTGGGGGGGGGGGGGGACAGAAACTCCGCGAACAGCAACCCCCGATTTCGGCACGCCAGGGCCAAATGAAGCCGGGGAAATTGGGCTCACTGCCCCACCCAGGTAGGGACCACGTGGGGGGGTTACATGAAGATATCCCCCACCTTCTTTACAACTGTGTGGTGCTAAAGGGCTGTGTACCCGTGTAGTCGTGGGCCGGGTAGAGGGCGCAGTCTCCAGGCAGAGAGAGGATCTTCTCGTGCACGGACTGGTACAGCTTCGTGGCGTCGCCTGCAACGGCACAGGATGATTCGTACACAATGAACGTAGCGCACATACTGCCCGAGTTCATGCCAGGGACCTGCCCTCGGTGGTGTGATGAACGCGTCATGGGATTGATGTCGACGTTTTCGAATGATATCAGATTCAATACACTTATAAATTGCGCACTGGTTTGGTATGTGACGACTTTGAATTTCAGATGTTCCGATCATTTATATCATGTAATAAATTAATGTGTCTCTGTGTTAGTAAACATCACTACACACCAATATGTGCGATTTGATGCATGAAACTCGAGCTTCAGAATACAATAATTGATGGATCGTTACGCTACTACATATAGAATGGATGTGTGGACGATTATCATACGAATATGAAAAATCTCAAAATTGGGCTGAGATATGAAATTTTATACAAGGCAAAAAAATCAATTTCAGATTAATCCGAAGTATGACATCAGAGGAAATGACGTACAAAAGTTGCGTGTCATGTGGCGTCGGACACGCTAAACGATTTCATCATCAAAAACAAGATATGAAATTTCCCCTTAAAAAACTCACCATTACCACCTCTCATCATCTATCTATAGATAGGCGGATGAGAAAATACAAACTGAACACAGTCCCCCAAGAAATTGGGAAGTGAAAGCCACTGCTCAAGGGGCAAGTGCGGCACACGGCAGCTCACCTTGTTGGAAGTCCGTGCGCCCGCAGCCCCGGATGAGCAAGGCATCCCCCGTGAATGCCATGCTGTGATCCGACAGCACGTAGGTGAGACAGCCGTCCGTGTGTCCTGGGGTCGAACGCACCTCCAGTGTCTGGGCGGGCAGACAGTCGTCATTTTATTCTAAGTCGTAGCCTTGCGTCTTCATTCAACGAAAGCCCGTGGGATTTTAGTCGAGAGTCTTCAACCACACCGGTCCATGCGGGTTGGGGGAAGGGGACGGTGCCCAGAACTGGTACAGATGGCCACTTGGCACTCGTGCCAGCAGCGGCCAGGAATCAAACGCTGGTAGCGCGGTTCTTAGCAGTGCTAATCTAGCCAGATTTTGTATTTACAGTAAAACCTTGGTCTGCGAGTGTTTTGCAAGACGAGCAAATTTTTTAAATAAATATTAATTTGATAAACGAGCGAGGTCTTGCAATACGAGTAGTAGTACGTGTACGCTTTGTCTGCCGAGCGTCACGTGATCACAACTGATGTACGAGTGCATGGGATTACAAACACGTTTCCGGAACGAATTATGCTCGCAATCCAAGGTTTTACTGTATTTAAAGTCTCAGTCTAATCAACGACAGCCTATAGGATTTCAGTCAAGTCTTAAGTCTGTTGATTTCGTGTGGTCACTCTCGTTAGTCTCGTCAACTAAAGCAGTCAAACGTTTGTATCGCTGTTAGCCATCACATTAGGTTTGGTGCTGTACTTAATTTGGCAGAACTCCAACTGAGAATTATCGGTCCCACTGGCATATGATGAACACGAACATCTCAGTGGCAGAATGGGTGGGAGAGCGCTGTCCTCGACTGCGTGGCACAGAGGTCACTGGAAGGGATCTCAGAGGTAGATCTGTGATATCCACTTCCGTGGGCCACTATCCAACATGCAAGGGTTGCACTGCGAGGCGAGAGATCTGAACGGAAACGTTGTCTCATCACGTGACGTCAATAACACAGAATCAAAATAAAAAATATATTTTAAATAGATGTGGGTGCTGCATACACATTTGTGGGTAATGCAGATAGACAAACGGGCATTTCATACGGAAATAGGCATTCAATATGCAGTATATCTATGCATCAGCATCATGCCTTTGTGACACCTTGTGGCAATTTAGAAAGTAACAGAGAAAACACTCACGTAAGCTTTTTTGACACTGAAAACAATGACACAAGGCACCGATAGACAACGTAGCAGCCTGGGAGGCATTTATGAACGCATTCTGTCGTAAAATTTAAATGTCTTTTTGTAGAAATTGACGGGAAGAAAAATAAAACCTAAACATCGCTGAGCAAATTAGAATTTTCGCTTAAATGAAGCGCCGCCACAAGCGGCAACACACGGACTTGCACACACAGCATACGTACAAACTTCCCAAACTTGATGGTGTCGCCCTCCTTGATGTGAATGTCGGCGATCGCTCCGCTCTGGCCGGAGATGATGCTCTTGCAGCCGGACAGCTTCTTCTTGAGCATCCCCGTGCCGGTCACATGGTCCGCGTGGCAGTGAGTGTTTGCTGAATGGAGCCGAACACACAAAGGACAAAGACCCCCCCACCCCCCGTATAGCATTAACAAACTGTAGGGACACAAGTGCTGCTAAGAGAGCACCTATGAAGGCCGGAAGGACACACGATGGGGTGGGTTGGCCAGCGCCACGCCAGACCGGTTCGTCTCCCTAGAAGCGATGCTTACACACCACAACAGGTAGTCATTTAAGGCTGAGTCGACCTAGGGGAGGCCCAGGACCAGTTCAAATAATCGTCATCGGTGTTGGCCGTGAGTGGGAATCGAACTCATGCCGCCGGATTCATAGTGCGGTGCGCTAACCACTGCACTACTGCCGAGCACACACATGCATGCACGCACACACCGTCAACCAGGAAGATACATTTTTTTATTCTCCATTTCCTGTTTTCCTCGCTGTTTTTCTCAGAACTATGTTCTAACGGCGCTATAAGTGTGCCACGTGACGAGAGGAAGACAGTTTTACCGACACGCACAATTAACGTACCGCGAGCATAGGAATCCGTTTTTAACCGACGAATCAATGCATCGCTATCAACCTCATACAGGTTTTCCCCTCGCTTGATGCGGGTTCGGGTCTGTGCAATTTCGCGTATATGCGGCTGACCCTATTTCTACCCAAAAATTCATTGTAGGTGGTTTGAATTCACCCCTATGCAGCTATGCGGTCGCACGTGGGACGGCATCGTGTTTGCTGCATGTAGACTCGGCAGGCAGCTGTCTCGTGTGGTTTCGCTTTCTGTGCCCCTTTTCTTCGAACACATCTACTACCGCATAAAGCGAAGGAAACATGGACAGCCAACTCTCAATATTCCAGGGTAATGGAGGGAAGGGGATGCCCCAAAGAAAACAAAAATACAAATTGTAAAGCATGCGACTTGGGCAATAAAACATGATCGTTTACTTACATAGTATGGGTAAGGATGACAATTGTGTGCCGCATTTGTTTCTTAAAGTAATCAGCCACCGGCGTGACGAGCGAGAAGCAGCTAATAATGGAACCCGGACAAAATCCCATGCGGAACAGGGGGAGATCATACAAACTCCACAGAGAAAGGGCACCCGAGTCGGGACTCGAACCCAGAGGGGGCTTTGTTGCTGCGAGGCTCAAGTTTTCGTTTGTCTACAGTGCAACCGCACCTCGAGACGCCATGCGGGGGAGGGCGGGTGCGTGCGCCGTGGTGTGCACGTGCACGTGTGGCCGTACCGGCGTACACCAGCTTCACTCCGATCTCGTTGATGATGCGCAGGTCTCTGTCGACGGTCTCCAGCACGGGGTCGATCAGCACGGCCTCGCGGCTGTCCGCGTCCGCCAGCAGGTAGGTGTACGTGGAGCTCACGTGCTCAAACAGCTGTGGGTGGACGGAGCACGCGCAAAAAACGCACGCACGCACACACACGTAAATAAACAACACATTTATATAATGCTTAAGGGGTTTGTTTTGGGTTACATCGCGTAAATATAAATGTTAACCCAACATCACCTGCAAAAGGCAGTAGCACAGTGGTTAGCGTACTGCTCTACGAAAATCCGGTGAGCGGCGTGTGATAATGTAGAGTGCTGTACTGTTATATTGTTAACTGTATATGTATTTGAACCGGTCCTGGCTCCCCACCCGCCTTAACTAACCTGCATTGACCACAGTGGTGAAGTATGGTCGATCAATCCCCACAACTGACACTTTGTGAGGAGGTCTTCATCCAGTCGTGGATTCACTTTATAATTATTGTTATATTATTCTGAAGTTATCAAGACCATGACGGAGGCTATACACGAAACAATGGATTTGTATAGTATTTTAACAACACAATTAATATCGTGTGCCTTTTGGCGTCATCTGGTCCAACACCATGTGAGACTGGGCTCTAAGAAAAGCTGTCTCTGGTGTGGACCATATCAATTTCAAGGACAGTGCATACATTCAAGACTTGGTTCGAAGCTTTCATGACTGCAGGAATTACTCTGATTTTTTCGGTAAAGTCACGTATAAATAAGAAATAATAAAATAACATAATAGCGTACGACGTTTCGGTTGCAACACAAGCAGCCATCATCAGGTACAGAAGAGCTAAATTTATGAAAGAGGGGAAACACATAACCCCGTATGTATATACAGACACCCAAGTAGGGGGAACTAACACAGACACAACAGGGGGCACAGAGAGACAAGTATATCCAACAGACAGGGTTTAGCAAAATTTGGAAACCATATAAAGCAACACAGACTGTCGGTCAAAACACAATTAACGCATAGTCCAGTTGATTAAGCTATTTCAAAGATTGCTAAATTGCAAGTTAAGTATGAAATTTAAAATACAGACCGTATACACACACATAGACATTCAAGTAGAGCGAACCAGCACAGGGGACAAGTACACAGTGAAGTCGCCTTAAATAGGCAGAGAAGGTAAGGCTGAGAGACAATGGGACAAATTAGCATGAGGTATGCATGGAGCAAAGTGGGGCACGGCAGCAAACACTCGGAAGCACCAAGGCCCACACACAGGCAGAGACAGCACAGAGACACAAATCAAAGCCAAGACAGAAAGGCAGATACACAAGCAGAGACAACACAAAGACAACACAAGACAACACAAAGACAGACACAAAGATACAGACCTTATACGTCGTACGCTATTATGTTATTTTATTATTTCTTATTTATACGTGACTTTACCGAATAAACCAAAGAGTGCATACATTATCAGAGCTGTTTTTTCTTTGCATTCTGACCGCAGGTATTGTGGTTAATGCAAACATGATTCCTTGTAAAACGGTGTCAGTTTTGTTGCCAGAAAAGGGTAAAAAAAACCCTATTATTAACACAATTAATGCACTGTCATGTGGCCTAAGCCATCACTCCAAACAAATACCAAAGAGCGTTCGCAAATCTTAACAAACAAAAAGCCACTTTGAAAAATCTTACATACAATGAGAGCCAGCAGATACTGCACTCTTCGATAGCGTGCAAAATGCATTAACAGTAAGGCCGCCTGTCATATAGGCTGACCCTTGAGAACCATCCGAGACCGACTGTGGGCTGGATTTTAACACCCTGACACGGCATGAGTGAGCACAAATTGCACTCAACGTGTTTGAAAGTGAACCCCTGCATCACTGCGTTAAGTTTCGTCAGTTGCAACCACGTGACGTCAACATTGTTCATTCACACGCAAGCAAAGCAGCCACACATGCAGACTTGGAAAAATCTCGCCCGCATGGATAGCATCTGCACACTCACGGTCCATTCAGATAACAGGTTCTATCTGCGTCCTCCACACGGAAACGTAAACCAAGAAAAACACACAAATTCTGAACAGACTTCTCTGAACGAGCTAGTTCAGAGGAGTCTGTCTCTATAACACACCGTGTCAACAACCCATACGGTTTACCCGTAATCTTCTACAGGGAAATTTAGCTCGGGTCCATACGGCGTACAGCCGTTTCAATACGGGCAAAACATGTTTTTTCTCTATTTGTTTGTGTTTCTCCCTTGTGATGGGACTTTGTAGGATGAACTTTGAGATCTATAATAATAATAAAGTCCGAATTGGTCTGTGAAAAGGTAGGTACTGATAAGGGGAAGACAGGTTTGCTACGCTGTAAGGGGTGTACAGATGCTGTGTTACAGCAGGCCAAGGACAAGTTGCAATCAACTCATTACTCCATTTGGTGGCAGCGCCAATCTTGTAAGCACAAGGCTAATAATGAAGGTGAAAAGTTTCATGCACGAAAGTAGAGCCTGTGACACCACTAACAAGGTGCACCTCTGGAAAGGAATTCTTGCCTTCTCTCTTGCCCCCTCTTCGTTCAGATACGAAATGTGTGTATTGGTTCAAAACAAAGACGTCAGAAAAAGATGAGGAAAAGAAAGTGGTGGTGGATTAAATTTACCCCGGCGAGCAATACATCACTGTGAACATTTCTACCAACCACAAAGCCTAAAAAGCCAGCAATGAAGTGTGAAAACACACTGCAGTAAAACTTGGATTCATCATCGCGTCTAAATGTAACCGTATTTCAAGACGCGGTAGAAAAAAAGTGTTTTGTTTGTTTTATAAAGAAATCAATACAGTCATAGACAGGAGATGGGCTTTAGCCTCGACTTGAAGTGGGGCAGACTATCAACAGTACCGACAGCTAAGGGGAAGGGAATTGCAGACTATAGAGACAGCAGAAGAGAAAGAGCGACCTCCCACTGAGCGAAACTTGACTGGCAGCTTCGACAACAGGCCTAGTTTGCTGGAGTTGAGAGTGCTGAGAGGAGAGAGGTGGGCACATTGCTCATGTACCAAGTTGCCAAATATATATTGCTAGAGTTAAACTTCGACTGTGTTACACTTCGGACAAGATTCTTAGACCTCTTGACCTTGTTTGAAGTAAAACATGAGCAACAACAAAAATCGGTGAACAATTTGGTCATGATTTAGGGTTAGGATGAGGAAAGCATGCACGATAGATTTTTTTTCTTGAAACACCAAAGCGAGTCAAAGCGGGGCATTCCAACGAGAAAAATAAAGTAATAGTGTGCATGCAATAAAATGACGGTAAAATGTGTCCACAAGTCACTGAAAAATGTCAACGTCAAGTTTGCCGACCAATTTGTGCATTTGGTGGGCATGGGTTTGGGTGCCACAACAATAATCATCGTGCAAGGACTTCACAAATTATTGAACACATTTTCTAAACGTCCTATCATGAACCGACTCCATAAAGTCAGGCTTTGCCAAAGTACGTACAAGACCCCGACTGAAAATATGACTGCTATCTCTGCATGTTTAACACCCCTTTAGAATCACAAAACTGTGATAACAACACACTTGAGAATCAATGACCCCATCAGCTGATTTGTTTTGGAATTTCAAGAATTCCTTTTGATCGGCATACACAATAATTCCATCTCAAATGCCCTGGGAATGACATGATGGGGCAAAAAAAGGACCGAGTGATAAGATTCACCCCGAAATGATATCCTAGTAAAATATTTACTCTAAAACAGGTCGGCAAACAATCCACACACACTGCAAGGGGCGATGTGTCCGTGCGAACCATCATCGGCACAAAAAAACACTGGCGCTGACAACACCGGCTGCTGGACTCAACGTTTTCCAATTGTCCACACGACGATAAACCAGAGGTAAAAGGCCACAATAACCCCATGTCGTCCCTGTAAAGCATCCAAACCGGGCATGTTTTTTTTAATGAATGCTCAATGTTCAATGCTACCGATAACTATCTATGTCCAGTTTAGTTTCGGTGTATTGTTCAAAACACCAAAACTATTGTAAAAAAAAAAATGTTTTTACACCCGTTGAAGATGTAAAAATAATAAAAATATCACGACGTTTCGATTGCTTGTGTTGCGATCGAAACATCGTGAAATTTTTTAAAATTATTTTTACATCTACGTGGCTTTACCGAAACACCCAAAGAATGTGAATTCCTGCAGTCACGAAAGCTTTAAGTCAAGATGTAAAACTTCATTTTTTTCAGGCCACTGCAAAGAACACGTGCAAAAAGGCTTTGTACAATTTTCAATCAAGCACATTATTGCGTAAATGGCATTCCGCCTCTTGACAATTTAATGTAAAACTACTGAAGTCTAAAAATACCAGCTCTCTGTTAACATGGCATAGCATTAAATTACAGTTCATAAGAGTTTGCTTACATATACAGTATCTGAATGAAAAAAGCTGTCTTTGCCACTCGATGCTTGCTCCTGTTGTGGTAAATTGCTTAAACGTTAAATTTAAATTGATGATCTGTCAACTGTTAAAGTGTCCCAGGGTTCTTGGAACCACGCAGTGTTCTGTACAATCTCTAAGTCAGTAAATTTTGCTCCATTTCTCTGCTATAAAGAAGGGCCAATGCCCAAAACGTCAGCCACCTGTTTTTTTTGCCCTGTAATGACAGTGTTAATAATGAATGTGGCCACAGTATAAACAATTGACAACCTACACACGTTTTAACTGAATACCACATTACATGAAACAGAAAAGTTTGTACTTTTAGCGGTGAGGCATTCAATGTGTACAAGCTGGGTAATGCCACTTCGAATCTCGCATTGCATTTACTGTATTTGCATAGACAATTTTTTCATGAATGTATGCAGACTCATGGCCTATTTATTCTGGTGAATAATTGAGGGCATCAATAGGCTAGGAGGACCCTAAATTGTCACACGCTGCACGCACAACCACACACAGAATGCCAAACATGTCATTCAGTGGCCCTGGCTGAAACAGGTTTTGAAGAGTGTTCAACACGTGTTGTCGATTGTGAATGGAATTTCGAACATTCCTAGGTTACCTGTTCACCATGACCTATGCGTAAAAAGGTGCAAAGTGCAGCCCCGCAATTACCTGCTCAAGCCACTGCCGGCAGAAGGACCTCCGCTAGAGGGAGAGCTCGAGAGAAGCCCTCTCGGAGGCTATTTTGGCCTACTCTTTCACACCGGTTAGACGTCTTGGAAGACGTGACATACGTGTGTATTACTATACAAGGCACCTCTAAACAAATGATTACAACAGTTAAACACGCACTTTTTACTTCCAAGCTGGTGGTGCAGTCTCAGCAAAGTACTTGTTTTAACTTTGACAAATCCACAAGTGAAGATGATGAAGATTGAGTCAACCTATACCAGCATCGCATTGCTAGATCTGACAACTGGGGGAGGGAGGGGGCTGCTACTCTGCCAAGTGAACCACACGAAAGATAAACGATGAATCATCGTGCTAATATCTGCTGTGGGGCGCAGAGCCCGTGGTGAACAATTTCACATGTACAGTACTGCATGTACATGTAACACGAATGAAACTATACACAGTAACAACTGCAACAACAAAATCCCTGTTGCCACGGTATTTGTTCATACTGGGTGAACCTTAAGTCAACTTTCAACGCTCAATGTACATAGACCACTCATCACCTGTCAAAAGGCAAGTCCTTGTGGAAGGTTGGGCTGGCTTTATTTCCCACTGCGCCAGGCTAGGTGCACGCCGAGTCCCACGTGTGCCACGCGCACACACACACACACAACACATATTCTCCAGGATTTCACAGCGCTCGTGCCAGGCTAGGTGCACTACAAAAAAAATCGAAGTGCGTCCCAGACACATCCCCGTAACACGTACTCAACCTGTTGAGCGTGACTCCTGGCATGGCTCCCACTTGTCGCGCGTGCCAGGCTAGGTGCACTTCAAATCCGTACACGAATGACAAGCACACTCGCTCACAAATCACCCAGCTCACCTCGCGATATACGAGTCCCTAATGTGCAATGGGTGTGTCCCTCGCCGGTGAAGTGTCACACACACACACCGTGAAACAAACACACACACCGTGAAACACACACCGTGAAACACACACACAGTGATACACACACCGTGACACACACATACAGAGACACACACACCGTGATACACATACACACACACAGTGATACACACACACCGTGAAACACACACACACCGTGAAACACACACACACAGTGATACACACACACACAGTGATACACACACACAGTGATACACACACACCGTGATGCACACACACACAGTGATACACACACCATGATACACACACACCGTGACACACACACCGTGAAACACACACACACCGTGAAACACACACACACCGTGAAACACACACACCGTGACACACACACACCGTGACACACACACACCGTGACACACACACCATGATACACACACACCATGATACACACACCGTGACACACACACCGTGACACACACATACAGAGACACACACACCATGATACACACACCGTGATACACACACACACACCGTGATACACACACACCGTAATACACACACACCGTGATACACACACACACCGTGACACACACATACACCATGATACACATACACACCGTGACACACACTGTGACACACACACCGTGACACACACACACACCGTGATACACATACACACCGTGACACACACCGTGACACGCACACACATACACCATGACACGTACACACCGTGACACACACTGACACACACAACAAAAACCGCCATTCGCCACTAAGTGGCGGTGACGTCACCACGACGCTTGTGACGCTTGTAGCACGGTGTGTGTGTGTAGCACGGTGTGTGTGTGTAGCACGGTGTGTGTGTGTAGCACGGTGTGTGTGTGTGTAGCACGGTGTGTGTGTGTAGCACGGTGTGTGTGTGTAGCACGGTGTGTGTGTGTAGCACGGTGTGTGTGTGTGTAGCACGGTGTGTGTGTGTAGCACGGGGTGTGTGTGTGTATCACTGTGTGTGTGTATCACTGTGTGTGTGTATCACTGTGTGTGTATGTATCACGGTGTGTGTGTGTAGCACGGTGTGTGTGTGTGTAGCACGGTGTGTGTGTGTGTGTGTAGCACTGTGTGTGAGTGTATCACTGTGTGTGTGTGTATCACTGTGTGTGTGTATCACGGTGTGTGTGTGTGTATCACGGTGTGTGTATCACGGTTTGTGTGTGTATCACGGTGTGTGTGTATCACGGTGTGTGTGTATCACTGTGTGTGTGTGTGTATCACGGTGTGTGTGTGTATCACGGTGTGTGTGTATCACGGTGTGTGTGTGTAGCACGGTGTGTGTGTGAGTAGCACGGTGTGTGTGTGAGTAGCACGGTGTGTGTGTGTGCAGCACGGTGTGTGTGTGTGTATCACGGTGTGTGTGTATCACTGTGTGTGTGTATCACTGTGTGTGTGTATCACGGTGTGTGTGTGTGTATCACGGTGTGTGTGTAGCACGGTGTGTGTGTGTATATCACGGTGTGTGTGTAGCACGGTGTGTGTGTGTGTATCACTGTGTGTGTGTGTGTGTATCACTGTGTGTGTGTAGCACGGTGTGTGTGTGTATCACTGTGTGTGTATCACTGTGTGTGTGTGTGTATCACTGTGTGTGTGTATCACGCTGTGTGTGTATCACTGTGTGTGTGTATCACGGTGTGTGTGTATCACGGTGTGTGTGTGTATCACGGTGTGTGTGTGTGTATCACGGTGTGTGTGTGTGTATCACGGTGTGTGTGTGTGTAGCACGGTGTGTGTGTGTATCACGGTGTGTGTGTGTATCACGGTTTGTGTGTGTATCACGGTGTGTATGTGTGTGTATCACTGTGTGGGTGTGTGTATCACTGTGTGTGTGTGTGTATCACTGTGTGTGTGTATCACGGTGTGTGTATCACGGTGTGTGTATCACGGTTTGTGTGTGTATCACGGTGTGTGTGTGTGTAGCACGGTGTGTGTGTGTGTAGCACGGTGTGTGTGTAGCACGGTGTGTGTGTGTGTATCACTGTGTGTGTGTATCACTGTGTGTGTGTATCACTGTGTGTGTGTATCACGGTGTGTGTCAGGCCAATGCCAGACGGGCCTGGCCTGATACACACACACACCGTGATACAAACACACCGTGATACACACACACACACACCGTGATACACACACACACACCGTGATACACAGACACCGTGATACGCCCACCAACATTGAACTGAAAGCCATCGCCACAACTCGCCTGGCGAAAGATGAGTCCCTCCGGGGGCGGCATGGCTCCCACGGCAGCGGCGTGGCTGCTGAACCGGAGCGAGCCCCACCCGGGGAGCCGCAGCCGCAGGGGCGGGCGGGCGACCGCCGAGGCGAAGGCGGCAGCGGCAGGGGCAGCGGCAGGGCAGCGGCCCGAGGCGGTGGTGGCGGTGGTGGTGCCGCACAGCAGCAGCCCGTGGAGACGCCTGCACGAAGGCGCACCTCTGGCCGTGGCCCTGAACAATCTTGTCGTCTGCATTTAAGCGGCGTTATCTGCAACACGCGACGCGGAATGAGTAAACAAATTTGTAGTTTTTTTCTGGTTCCGCCGCGAGAAGGAGGAAGAGGAGGAGGAAGGGAGCGCTGTTCGCCTACGGCGGGGCGAGAACAGGCGGGTGCCTGGGCGTGGATCTTTATGGCTTAATGACCCCCCCCCACACCCCGAGACACCCCCACCAACACCCAGAGACACCCCCACCAACACCCACCCAGAGACACCCCCACCAACACCCAGAGACACCCCCACCAACACCCACCCCGAGACCCCCCCCACACTCAGAGACACCCCCACCAACACCCCGAGACACCCCCACCAACACCCACCCCGAGACCCCCCCCCCACACTCAGAGACACCCCCACCAACACCCACACCCAGAGACACCCCCCCACACCCAGAGACACCCCACCAACACCCCGAGACACCCCCCACACCCAGAGACACCAACACCCAGAGACACCCCACCAACACCCCGAGACACCCCCCACACCCAGAGACACCAACACCCAGAGACACCCCACCAACACCCCGAGACCCCCCCCACCACCCGGAGACACCCCCACCAACACCCCGAGACCCCCCCCCCCACTACCCAGAGACACCCCAACCAACACCCACCCAGAGACACTCCCCCCACACCCAGAGACACCCCCACCAACACCCCGAGACCACCCCCCCCCCCACACTCAGAGACACCCCCACCAACACCCACCCAGAGACACCCCCCCACACCCAGAGACACCCCACCAACACCCACCCAGAGACACCCCCCCCACCACCCAGAGACACCCCCACCAACACCCACCCAGAGACACCCCCCCCCACACCCAGAGACACCCCCACCAACACCCACCCAGAGACACCCCCCCCACACCCAGAGACACCCCACCAACACCCACCCAGAGACACCCCCACCACCACCCAGAGACACCCCCACCAACACCCACCCAGAGACACCCCCCCCCCACACCCAGAGACACCCCCACCAACACCCACCCAGAGACACCCCCCCCCACACCCAGAGACACCCCACCAACACCCAGAGACACCAACACCCAGAGACACCCCCCCACATCCAGAGACACCCCCACCAACACCCAGAGACACCTCCCCACATCCAGAGACACCCCCACCAACACCCAGAGACACCCCCCCCCCACATCCAGAGACACCCCCACCAACACCCCGAGACCCCCCACCAACACCCCGAGACCCCCCCCACTCCCCTCGGGCAATATCCCAGCCCTCCCCCTCCTCTGTCCCCCAACTATCCCACAGTGACCCCCTCCCCGCCCTCCACAACCACGAGCTGCCCAGGCCTCTCCACTGCCCAACCTTCGCCCCTTCACTTTACAGCTGACACCCCCCACACCCCCCACACCCCCTTCCCCTCCCTGACCGTGCCCTAGCTGCCCAGCCCTGCCCTTTGTACCCCCCTTTACTGCCCTGTACATTCCCACTCCTCTCCCACCCCCAACTCGCCTCCCCCCACCCTACAGACCCCCCCCCCCCAATCCAGACAGACGAGGCAGCCCTTCCCAATAACACCCCCCCACACTCACTCCCACCAGCTCAATTCACCTTGCACGAGGCCTTCTACACAGCACGGCGTCCCACGTGGACACGGGCAAGCACAATGGTGAGCCCCAAGTGCCCGGTCATCCCACTTTAAACCAACCTAGCCCCCTCCCTTTAGTCCTCCAGCTGTCCAATCCGATTCCTTTCCTCCCTCTAACATCAACAACAAAGACTTTCCCTCTAGTCCAGCCTCCCACGACTCCCCACTTCTAGGGCCCCTGTCATTCCCTAACCCCCCCCCCCCCACTATATCCTTACATATTCCCTCCTCCCCCATCTCCTACCCCCAACACAACGCTGACAGTCCACGCGTCGTGCAGGGGCATTGCGCAGGGCTCTCAGCCTGCGCCCCTACTGACTTCCTGCTGCGAGGGTGGACCGTGCGAGCTCGCAAACCATGTCGGAGCCACGAGTCCACCCCTGCGCGTCGATTTGGTTTCTTGGCGTGACTCCGATTCATCCGTCTGTGCTGTCCCGCGTACCAAACGGCACTTGTGCTGTCCCGTGTACTCAACGGCACTTGTGCTGTCCCGTGTACCAAACGGCACTTGTGCTGTCCCGTGTACCAAACGGCACTTGTGCTGTCCCGCGTACGCAACGGCACTTGTGCTGTCCCGTGTACTCAAAGGCACTTGTGCTGTTCCGTGTACTCAACGGCACTTGTGCTGTCCCGTGTACTCAACGGCACTTGTGCTGTTCCGTGTACTCAACGGCACTTGTGCTGTTCCGTGTACTCAACGGCACTTGTGCTGTCCCGTGTACGCAACGACACTTGTGCTGTCCCGCGTACCAAACGGTTACTGCGTTGCTGCTGTACGTGGATGCGGTGGTGGAGCGGTTAGCGCTACGAACCCGGCGACCCGAGTTCGATTCGCGTTCACGACTAATCGCGCACCGGTGACGATTATCTGAACCCTGTCCTTTGGTGACCTTACCGAGGTCGGCTCGGCGTTTTATTGAGCGCCTGGTGCGACGCGAAAGCATCAGCACCGGGGAGACAAAGGTGGCCGAGCTTGGTGCTAGGGTCGCCCCCAGCCAACCCCTCCCTGGCTAACAGCACTTGCCCCAACAGTCTGTTAAGGCTGTACGGGCAGATCTTCGTTATACGGGACTACGGCAAGCTGTGCCGTCTGCTGTATTATATCGCGTACCGTGCTGGTGCAGCATACTTGAACGGAATTAAAATGTGAATTCATTGCGTCTTGACTGTGACTAGGGGGGTGGGCAGGGGGCAACTTAATAAAATGGAACGCAAACTTTAAAGTGCGCACGGGTGCACCAAATTTGGAATGGCAACAGACCGGAGGAAGTGGACCGGGTTTGAACTTGAACAGCAACACGCGGGTTAAAACCATAAAACCTCAAACATTTGTTTTATTACCAGTGTAAGGGCCACTGAGCTGTATGGCTCTTTTTTCAGAAGCGACCTGTCCATCACAAATGATGAAAAGCTCAAAGAAGTGGCTTTTCACGCGGAAAATGTATAGCAACCAAATCCTCTAAAACACGTGTTGATTCGAAATGTTCAAGGAACTAGGAGAAAAATCCACGCGACCACGGGTGAGAGACTTATGCAAACTCCAAATATACAGCAGCAGCAGGCATCGTCAGGATCTGGATCGAACCCACGACCTCCTGTACACCAGGCGAGGTAGTTAACATCTCCTAGCCACCGTGGTTAAGAGACTCTAGGTTGATTTGAGAAAGGGACGCATCGATAGAATTCAGCCGGCGGTCGAGACTCTCTACACGCCTCGCTACGTACGGTGCGAAAGAAGTTCAACAATACATTACGGAGTGGTAGCCAAATGCGGCATAAAACGCGCCTCTTTACACATCGACATCTACGGTGGAGACGGAGCAATGTAATCACCTCTCGTGCGAAGAACTCGATAGATTGTTGGCATCAGGAGGCCTGAAATCCAGCGGTGGATAGATGACGTCCCATTATGATTTTGGAACGCGCGATTCCATACGTTAATCGATACAGAGGAATCACTGAATCATAACCACCCCCCCTCCGCCTCCACCCCCCCTCCGCCTCCACCCGCACACACCATGAGAGCCCAGCATGTGGTCACGTCCACAGAGCCATATGCGGGTAGGAGGGGGTGCGGTCGCATGTGAATATGCGATGCCCATTGGCTGGCTGTCATAGCAATGATGCCCGCCCACGTGAATATTAATTAACCGTGGGAGGGAACGGCAGGGAGGTGCCACGTGGTGACTTTTACTTGAAAGAACCATGGCATTGAGTCCAGGGGCATAACATTATATCAGTGTGTACATACGTGTGTACATACGTGTGTACATACGTGTGTACATATTGAACAGTTTTTTTTTTGTACGACACGATACTAAAATGTCACGGCATGATGATTAACAGTTTCTCAACTTTTCCCACGTTAAATATTTTTGTGGTGTGTTCTGCTGGTACAATTGCACATTAGACCTACACTACTTGAATGTTCTTCTTCTTTGTACTTTCGGTAAAGTCACGTAGAAGGGAAATAATAAAATAATAGAAATATAACATAATAAAATAAAATGATCACGACGTTTCGGCCACAACACAAGTAGCGTTCCAATGAACGCTGTTTTCCCGACAGTTCTGTTTCTTCACCTGAAGACGGCTGCTTGTGTTGTGGCCGAAACGTCGCGATAATTTTATTTTATTATGTTTTATTTTTATTATTTTATTATTTCCCTTCTACGTGACTTTACCGAAAGAACCAGGAAGATGAATCCATGCAGTCACGAAAGCTTTAAATCAAAATTTACTTGAATGTTTTTCAATTGCAGTCCACTCCATCATATAAGCCTGCCACGTATCCTGCAATCATTGCATCCTAGAATCCCACCTAGATCCGGAAAACGCTGGCGAGCAGAATGGAACAACGCGCATAAAGGCCTCACTTGAAATCTAAACATCGCAGCTTCTAGATTTGACGTCCCTCCTCAAAGACCCTGGTGTAACCATAAACCGTATCAGAACATCAACAAGCCGATTTGTACATCTCCTTAATAAATGTCAAATGAAAGCCAAGCTACATTACTGAGATTGTGGCCATGCAACCCAAACTATGAACCATATAGTAAACCACTGTAGTCTGCACTCCTTCAATGGAGGAAGAGCAAAACTACACAAACTCTCTCCTCTGAAGCTCTCTCGTGAGTTGCTGACATCAACATCGGAATTTAGCTCCTGAACATATTGCCACCATGCACAATAATATATCTGCGATGTGTAATCTATAACGTCTGAAGCAACGCACATGCTGGCAGTTATGCAAGGATGTGATAATTTGACGAAATAAAAAAAATCAGAATCCGTGCCGTAAATTCCTCTGCGAAACATTTTGCAAAGCAATATTTTGATGGATATTAGTTACTTATTTACAACTTTAATTGTTGAGTTTCATTAATTAATCTATCATTGGCAACCAAGCAAAATATTTAAGAAAAAATGATCAACGATAATCATATTTTGAAAATCGAACAATACAATTATTGTGGAACCTTCCTTGCACGATATATCATCTTACCATAATTATCATGTTCGAGTGAAGAGTAAGGACAACATTATGACTAGAAAGAACCAAGTCCTTTTGGTATTTATGATGAGCCATGCACTTAAATCGAATGTCATTGACCTAAGTAAAAAAAAATACAACCGCACTGCATTGTATACAGATGTTATGACATAATTGCGTACGTGACATGCTGTACATTATCATGTAATGCAGTTGTATGCATGATATAATAAACCTAGGCCAATTACCAAATCATCCGGCATCTCCCGATCTCGTCAGATTGGAAGCTGAGCAGGGCAACCATCACGCATAACACGAATGACAGTCGGCAGGGAGACGTGGTGGGCAGCAGAGGGCAATGCAGCAAAATCCAAGTCTAAACGCACCGCGTTCACCAGCCTGCACTGACCAACGTGTGGTCAAATAATCCCACGACCCGCACGACGTGGGAAGGCTAACATCCAGTAATTGATGGCCATGAGCCATTTGGCTTTTACCCCCAGTCAATGATAAAGGTCGCATTCGAAGTTAATCCCACCGAAGATTAAGACGTGAAGAATGCCAATATTTGAACATGATAATACTGCGAGGAGGCTCACATTGTGGTATGCAGTTTGTGTGAACGTCTGAAGCACGCTGGTCTTTGAAACGATGCCTGTATGCCCCAATGAACATGTCAGTTTGAAAACTGGTGTGACCTGTTGATCCATTGACTTTTATTTGACCTCAAAGAATTTGGTCTAAATCTACAATATGCAAAATCCAACAAAACATGTCCTCATAATAGGGTTACTTTCCTTTCATCATTAAACGTTAATAAAAAAAAAAACTAGAACGTTTTTATTTATTTTACCAGGTAAGGCCCACTAAGCTATTCAGCTCTTTTTCATAAGCGACCAGGCCATAAATGATAGCTCAATAAAGTGGCTTATCATGTGGAAATGTATAGCGGTCAAATACTCTAAAGGCATATTTCTAAATGTGAAGGGAAACACTGGAGGACCCAGAGAGAAAAAAAAAAACACGGGACCACGGGGGAGAACGTGCAAACTCCAAACATACAGCAGGCGTCATGGTCGGGATCAAACCCACGATCTCCTGTATACCAGGCAAGGGAGTTAATATCTCGCCACTGCAGTGCCGTAATACATTTTTTCACTGTACAATCGAGCCACACCGTAACGAGCCAGCCAGGAATGGTTCAGGAGGCCCCAGGTTGCTTTTTCACAAGCTGAAACACGTTGCCGACGTCACACAATTAACGATCTGAGCCACACCATGGTGACGTGGTTACAACTGTGTCCTCAGTATTCTGCATTATATCACGCTCCCGTGCAGCATTGGTCTCGCCACTGCCGATTTCGCTGACGTCAACACACACACAAGTGATGTCAAGATTGCGCAACTCCTAATGGCGTCCAGTTGTATCGGATGACAGAACTCCCATTGAGATTCGCGTGTTTTGTGTTGACGGGGCTTCTCTAGGCAATGTTCACGGACATGTGCACTAATTCTGCCCCGTCCTATAGCCACGAAGATGACTTGCTGAAATACAACACAATGTTCCTCATTCTTTCCACTCTATAACGCTTCAGGCGTTATAGATTACACATC